AAACGTGATATCAATATTCTAAATATATACGTGGTACGTTAACATTAATAACAAATTGAAGCAATAAGTAAATGATGATGGTCGTATGGTCACTGAAAATTGAAGCGCTCTGGAAAGGTCTAGATAGGTTTGCCATCCTCTTATCACAGCGGAAAGCTTTCCTTAGATGTCAAATCCAGTGTGCTAGCAAAGCCATTTCTGCTCTTCTTCACTGGGCACACTGTCTATGCTTTACACTCCCTTCAACAGCAGTAGACCCTTGCCGCCAAATTACCCCGTCCACAGAATTTTTTAAAAATAAACTATTAAATGTAGAGAGCAGCTTTTCAGGAGCCAGCCTTGATGCTGAATCTACGTTTGACGCTATATCCGCAGAATACAACTGCGGTGAGGAAAAAAAGGTGTAAACCACAGAAGAGGCATTATCCAACATAGTGGCAGGCGGTCATGTGTGTATTAAATTTGGAAAGCGCAGAAAATTTCCGTCACATATCAGTAGCAGTGAATTCCTACTTTCCTATCTATCATGGGTTTTGCATTCTTCCGGGAATCAGTTCTAGTTTTCTGGCCGCAAATGTCTTTTTTTCTCCTTGTTCTTATGACTACATCGTTAGTACCAACGGTGGATGTCTTTCCACTGAAAACTTTCAAAAATTATATCGATATCTTGTCAAGGCTTAATTTAAAAACCAAAGTAAAACGACGTACTATTGGGAATAATATTGCTGTGCAGCAGTAAGGAGCGGTCTCTTTGACAAAATTGTCGAGATCTTTTTTCCTTAGCTGCATTGTTTACAATGCATGCACCATCTGTCGGGTTGTTTTCACTTGAGTATGATCTTCATCCTTAAATTCAGTGCTTTTAAGAGGTGCTGTATACACGGCGTTGTATCTTTTAATAAGATGTAATATCTAATGAGCAGAATGTGGTGCTAATAACTCTCGTTTTGTATTTCAGCGTTGTTTTTCGAGTGTATGACTTTGTTTGCATATGCCCTAACAAATAAGTGGGGAATACACGAGATTATTTCACTGCTTTTGAAGCTGTAAATAAACTGATCTAAAATTGGGTGAACTCGGCGTATAAACATTTCACGTTAATTGTACAGCAAAAGTCACGAAATACGACAATACGGTAATTAATTCACCAAAGCTACGTGCTTTAATTCCTTAATTTCCCAAGGACTTCCTGGAAAATTCAACCATATCTGTTTAACTTTTCTTATCAATCAGTGTTGAAGAGTGCTTGTACTGACGGGGCCTTATTAGAAGCTTTGGACACTTTAACATTGGTAAATAAGAGAACCGGGTTGCTCAGTCGCATGCCAGACGGCTTTCTCCCACGGTCCGGGCGTTGGTTTGACCACACTATTGGGTCAGAAAACTGATAACAGACTTCCGTGGTGGAAGTGGTGGAACAAGCTGACTTGCTGTTGTGAGAAACGACTAGACCAGCACTCTGCGACGTTCGTGAAGAAAACGGGAAAATTATCTAGCAATATCCTAAGTCACACGCAATAACCTTCGAAGACCTTCATGAATTGTAGATGTGATGGAAAGATTTGGATCCAAGAATTGCTAGATCCGCACATTGTGATACATGTGCTGTCGGGTCGTGCATCACCTGTATCACCTGTAGTCCCGTTGATCGTCGAGTAACTCGAGCGGGCACCAGTAAATCTCCCACTTTTCCATGTCTCGCGCAAGAGTAGCCCAGTGGCTTCTTATCGCTCTAAGGACTCGTTAAGCGTCATGTCTTTTTTCTAGGCTCTTCGCGAAGAGCTCTGACCGGTCGGTGGTCTTCCTTCAGTACGTTTGACATACCGAAGAGTCCAGTTACTAACGGCTCTTGTCCATCGGTTGTCATTCATACGCATTACGTGTCCGGCCCACCTTATCTTCGACTGTTTGGCGTACAGAACGGCATCTTTGATTTTTGATCGTTGATGCAGGTCGGAGCTTCGTATCCCATCTTTTACTTGTGTGGAATGGGATACTCCTAGTATCGTCCTTTCGACTGCGCATTCAATAACGCAGAGTGATCTTCATCCTGCTTACGCAGCGACCAGGTTTCTGAGGCATACGTTATGGCAGGAAGTAACGCTGGGGCACGGAGTCGGGTGTTCTTTGTTCTCTTCACTACATCCTCGATGCTCTTGAGAGCTCCCCAAGCCCCTCGTTTCCTTCTGCCCAGCTCTCGAGATAAGCCGTTCATTATATTGATTTCCCGAGCTAGATAGACATAACTGAATCATTGCTCCGGTATTCGTTCCGTTGAGTGTGTATGAGGCATACGAAACCAATCCGTTCTTCATGAACATCGTTCTTGTCAGATTCAGTCGAAGACCAATCTTTCCACGGGTCTTATCAAGGTCGACAAGCATTCGTTCCGTTTGGCTAATGTTTGATGTTATAAGGACGATGTCATCAGCAAAGCGAAGATGGTGTAATTGCCGAGCATCGATTTTCACTCCTATGCTGTCCCGTTCCATTGTTCGTACGACGTTCCCGAGGGTGGCGGTGAATAATTTTGGCGAGACGGTGTCGCCTTGCCTAACCCCTCTTTTGACGTCGATGTTAATATCGTAGTGGAATGGTGATATCTTGGTTGTGAAATTTCTGTGTAGCTCACGGAGAATCTTCATATACTGAGTAGAAGCGCCTTGACTATCAAGGGCTTCCATGACTGCTTTTGCCTCAACTGAGTCAAAACCCTTCTTTAAATCGATGAAAGTTAGACAGAGCGCTCTTTTGTACTCTCGCGATACTTCAGTAAGCCTTGTTATCGTGTGGATGTGGTCCATCGTACTAAATCCTACACAAATAGTTTCCTAGTATTATGGTGGTACTCTTTCATAATATAAGAAAGACGACACATTGTTTTTTGCCGAGGCAACTTTTGTGGCTTGGTAACCTTGTCGTCCATCGTACTAAATTCTTTTCGAAACCCTGCTTACTCACATGGCTGGCCTTCGCCCAGAGTTCTGTCAATCCTGTTTAGGATGACTCGAGTGAAAAGTTTGTAGACGACAGACATCAAGTAGATTAGGCGATAGTTGCCGATTTCGTGCAGGTCACCCTTCTTCAAGATTAGCACGGTCTTGCTTGTATTCCATTGAGTAGGGACCTTGCATTCAGACAGGTAACGTGTGAAGAGCCGAGCCAGTGTGATTACGAGGACTGGCGGAAGGTTCTTCAGGTGTTCTGGTCTTATCCTGACTGGACCTGGTGCTGTTCGATTTTTCACCGACGAAATTGGCATGTCGGATTTCGGAAATGAGAACCGATTGTACAACATAACCATCCTCCTTTATTTCATATGACGGAAAGCGGACGTAACTATCGAAGAGTTTCGAGTAGTATTCGTGAATGATTTTTTCCATTGCCTTTCTGGACGCTGTAACTGTTCCATCTGAATGTCGGAGTGCAATTGTTTTAGTCTTGTAATGGGCGAAGCTTGGGTGAGCTTTGCGAATGCTTTTCCCAGCCTCTGCAGGTTCGACCATTGCTGCTGCTCTTCTCTTTTTACGATCTTCTTTTATCGTCTGTCTGCATTGTTTTGCCAGTTCGGACGTTAGTTCGCTGTTGCCTGCAGCTCGTGCGATTCCATCTCAGCTTTCATAGCACTAACGTGAAGATGTTGAATGAGCCGATCGTATCCTTCGTCGATGTTATCGACAACGGCATCTTCCCAACAGCCGACTAATGAATTGAATAAGTCTCAGTTTGCGGTGGTTCTGGGACTTCGGTTTGGAATTTAGCGGCTTTTTCTCCTTTCCGCGAGAAATAGAACCTTGTGCGAAGGAGACGACGGTCTGATCCTTTGTGGAATTTTGGGACAACAGCGACATCGGTTAGCCAAAACCTATTTACTGTGATGTGGTCTATTTCGTTATGGTACTCTCCATTGGGAGACCTCCACGTCCAGCGCTGAGGATGGGGTTTCTGGAATTTCGAGTTGCCATGGATTGTCTTGGTCGCCATGATAAACTCAAGCAGCCGCTCACCCTCTTCGTTCCATTCTAATCCGTGGGTCCCATTGTGACGTTCTTCAGACGTTCTTCTTGGTCCAACCTCGGCGTTGAGATCTTTAATGATGACCTTGAAGAATGTATGGTCTTCTCTGTAGAACTTCTCCAAGTTCATATAGAACGTTTCGACTTCTTATTCTTTATAGTTTGATGTTGGCGCGTGAAGGACGATTGTTGTCAAAGCCGGTACTAATCCACATCGTTTTAATCGTAAACGTCCGATTCGGGTTGTAAGTTGTCCGAATGAGTCGATGTTCGTGGACAACCCTGTGTTGACGAGAACGCTGACGCCGCCGATTTCTCTACTGCCGCATGTTCCGATGAACAGTTCTCCTTCGGTGTCGTAGACGGCGTTGAATGGATGGCGTCGTCTCGTTTCGGCCAGGCCGATGACGTCGTACCTTATCTTTCTCGTTTGCTTGACCAAATCTACTCGGATACAACTTTATGCGCATTGTAGGTACAGATCGTCACCTTAGTTTCCGCGATCCAGGCAGCTTCCATAACCCTGAGATCTTAGCAGCTTCTCCGTACTCATCCTACCCAACGCAGCCGAATTGAGGCTCTTTTGGCATGAGGAGAATGAGTCTCGTTTCTTTTATTGTGTTTAGCATTCTGATAGCTACGTGTAGTTTTCTGGGCTCTGGACGTAGATGCTGGGTATACTCACAGGTGGCTTGCTGGTCTCTTCCAGAGTGGACATGGAGCTTATTTGCTGGAGGCGGGTCGTATACTTCCCTGTCATGTGATTGTAGGCTTGTGGGCAAATCGTCTCGTAGAACACAACCCTCATAGACGTGAACCCACCCACACACGCATGCATGAATAGGCTTCGTAAATGCAGAAAGTATGTGCCAAATCAGCGCGGCAGAATGAGGGAGTACGTCCCCTGAATCCACTTGCGTCTCAGTGAAAGAAATGGCCGTTTTTGATCCGCTATTACCCCCCTATCCCACCTGGGGACGCGCCACGTACCTTGGCGACTAACCGGCTCGAGATACTTCACTTGAGAGGCTTCCGTGGCGCGTCATGTAATAGATGAATGAAATATTACCAAATGACATGTGATAACACAATCAAGTACCAACTAGTTGTTATAGATAACTGAATTGCAGGTTATTTATATGATCTTGTTTTCACCAAGCGGTCAGTAACGTAAAACGAAACGTAACGTAAGTAACGTAAAATTTATTTTTCTGTTAAAATGCTCGTCTACCGAAGCACCATACTAACCGTACCTTTACTGTTCAGATGTCGAATAAGAGTGGCTCAGCCTTGCCGTCTTTACGAGGTAGAGGAGTTCAACTCGACCAAGGACAATGTGTGTTCCGATTTCAACGTTATTTATTCCCGTCATCATGTTTATTCTAAAGTACGATCGTAGATGCTCTTCACGGTAGCTGTGTGGAAGAACAGATGTCTGTTATTGATGGAACACTAGTGTTAACGGTTTCACTTCCTGTAGAAACTGTTCATATTCATGATGTGGACACTAGTAATTAAAACTTCGCAAGTAGACTCGCTGAATGGAGCCCTAAATTGCCGATGAGATAGGAGATGCACACCTAAGTCAACGCGTCCATTCCTAAGGTATTCCGTTAAAAGAACGTTGGCGAAATATTGAAAGTTATTCCTTTCCTCATTTTCTCCTAGTGTGGCCATCCGAGGGTGCGTGTTGCGCAGTGGTTGGAGGCACCACTACGACACACGCTTGGAATCGATTTCCGTGTCTATGGTCCACCAAGCCTTCCATTCTTACGGGGCCGGTAAATTGGTACCAGACTTGTCTGGGAGGATGGTGGCACTGGCCCGATACATCAGTAGGCCACCGCGGGTGATTGCAAAGGCCAGATATGCATTCAGTCACCTCCAACGATGCTTAATGTAGTCGAATGCATGACGCGCCCTTTAGAAATTGATCAACGCCGAGAGCTTTATCCTTTATCCTTGATGGCCATTCTTGTAGCTCACAGTTCGAAAAATGCCGTACTCAATATTAGACATAACAGTCTGTTAATGGGAAATGAAATATCGAATTTTACAACACCACTTCACAGTAAATTGAAGCCTTTGCCAAACAAATATTGCCATTGGCGCCCAAATTTTCTTGGTTCGTAGAACACGTTTACGACAAAGCTGAAGAAAACGGTGTTTAAAAGTCATCAAAGCATGCTTTTCTCTAGAATTTTCAAATCAACATTGACTCATACGAGAACCAATCAATCATAATCTTGCGTCCGAGCTCACAACGCTTCTCAAAGAATCTATGAAAAAGATCTTAAAGACAGAAGCGTGCCGTTACTGGTCTAGGTTGGAAGGTGCGCCTGCAACACCAGGAAAGCCATCGTCGATTAGAAGATTAAGGTGATTGCCTTGATGCTTTCAAATGAAACAGGTCTGAGGGAAGCAGTGAAGGAAATCATTGGTGATTGCCGCTCTGTTCTAAAGATGTTGCTTGTTTCCACACCGTAGACCTCAAACTTGAGCAATTAAATACTTCTGTGAACGATGAGTTGTTAAAAATTACAGTTGAAAAATGTAGGTGCGATTGGAGGAATGTTATGCAGGTTGTTGTTCCACGCATAATAGACGACCACATGCTAACATGATGCTCATGTTATGCAAAAAGGCATCGTTGTGACTTATTTAGAGGAATAAGAGATGTATTATACAGGGAACAGTCTTTATAGAGACAAATACGAAGCGGTGAATAAGCGCTCAATTTGCTTGTAGTCTACCACATGCAAATTTTTTACCCCAGTAATCCAAAGACTAGAGATATAAAACATTTGGGCGAAGAAGAGCCATTTTCGCAAGCAGTGCATAATGAAATTCACCGTCTGTTTGGCAACAATACAAGAAACAATAACACTAACTTTGATCAGCAATAAAAAAACTTTTCACTCCATTGAAGCCGGATTAGTCGCTGCAGCTCTGAACTGCAAATGCATCCACACTCGTCTAAAAAGATTTTTTTACTAACTATGTAACAACTTCACATTCAGGATCTGGCCTTTCTAAAAGGGATTAGCAGTGACGCACTATATAGTTGGCACGTAAAATGCGATAGTAGAAATACCCTTTAGCAATAAACACAATACTGCTATTTCGAACTCCGCCTGTGCAACCGAACATCCCATTTTGTCGGGTTGGATACTTGTGTCAAATTGTTGCGCCAAAAATCTCCGATTCACAAAGGCTGGTGATGGGAACCTGAGAGCTTTCTGGCAGAGCTCTTCTAGGCCTACAAGAAGAATCTACTCGATCGGCTTCCAACAACATTCATAAAGATCAGAATCCTTAAATAGCAGCCCATAATGCACAAAATTCCGACTTTTGAGAATGATGGATGCAATGCAAGAAATTAAATGAAGTAATGAAGTCTACATAACATGTGATGTAGCATTGGCTCCGTTTTTGCTGCGCAGATGTGGAACATACCGTCTGTGGTCACGAAGACGTCTTCATACATACATGCGTGTGTGCGTTCTCGTTTACGCGGATTGTATTCTATGAGTCAGTTTGGTTAAAAGCCCCCAATAAAGGGATATTCCTGAGTGTACTCAACACAGATGTTTAGAGCTCAGCCAATTATACGTGTGTGCCGAGTGCCAAACGCAGTAAATTAAGCAGGTCTTATTTCCCTGACCATGAAAAGCCCCGATACGGTAGCATTGGGTAAGACGAGTACCGAGAGAGAGCTGAAATCTCAAGGTAATTCATTCTAGGCCACCTATATCACAGAGGGCTAGAGTGATGATCCGTACCTACAATGCACCCTCACTTTCATCTCCGTCCTCGATAGAGGCCTTGATTATGCAGGCAAGGAGAATAAGGTACGAAGTCACCGGACCGAGATAAGACGACGCCACCCATTTTACATCGCCTATGAGAACGGAGAAGAACTCTTCCTCGGAACATGCAACAATAGAGGAGCCAGCGCCGACGGCGTTTCCTTCACCACCAGTTTGACCATGAACATCGATTCATTCGAACAACTAACAACCCGAATCGGATATTTACGGTTATAAAAATGTAGATCAATATTGGCCTTGATAATCTTCGTCGCCTACTCATCGACGTAAACCTATGAAGAAGACGAAATCGAGGTGTTAAATATGGGCATGGAGAGTTCTAGAGAGAAAACCACATTGTTTCTAAAGTCGCCACTAGACTTTAACGTTAAAATTGGGTCTAGAAGAACGTGTTGTATTAGGACACATGGATTAGAATGGAACGAGAATAGTGAACGACTGTCTGGATTTATCATGACGACCAAGACCATTCTTGGTAACTCGTAATTCCAGCAACTCCAATCTCAAAGCTTTATGGAACTCTCCCAGTAAAGAGTGCCATAAAGTAATAGATTGCATAAAAAACTCGTATGATACTTGCGGGTCTCTAAAGCGAGAAGAATGCGCTGGGATTCTCTTGCACGCGACAGGAAGGAGTGGAAGAATCAGTGGCTCGACTCGAGTCACCCTACGACCAGTGGGACAACAGGTGATATAGGTAATATGGGTGGTCATTCTTATAATGTCAAGAATTAGCGAAGTAAACGAGGGGTGGGTAGTACTTGTGAATTACTTCTCTCCTATTTATTCTATTGAATTTCTTTGCGGAATGGGATGGTGCTCTCGAGTGTTGCAACCATGTGCATCTCGATCGAAAAAGTCTACGGAAAAGCATTTGCTTCAGAAGAACTGCTAGGCTACCACTTTTTGGACTCCACGGCATTTACCACATCAGTGCGTGATTTGGAACTTGATTGCTGTTATACTGCTCCATGAAAAAGCTGTCAGCATTAATGAAGTGCGTTCTCGATATAGTGACGATACCAGTTTTTTGTATCACACAGGTTACAAAAAAAAACAGTAGTTTCGAACAATTTCGATGATCCAGACAGCCGTAAATGTCGCGATGTCGAGAATTAGATGATTCAAAAAGTGGTGGCTCAGAACGACAACCGTTGGACAGAAGCAGTTGGTAGCTGAGATTCGTGGCACATCGAGCGAAGAGGAAGGAAGCACCCAGAACCATGTATCACGAGGATCGTAGCAGAGAAATATAGTATTCTGCGAGCTCCTAGAGCGAGTACAACTCGATGAGAATACTTTCACGCGCAACAGGACAAATGAAGAAGTTGCACACGCTCTCTCTCTCGTTGCTTGAAAGTCAGCAGGGAGAAAAGAGATCATCAGTGGGAATCCCGTCATAGGACAGTAATAGACCACATAGTATTCATGGTTGTTTTCTTCGTTGTTACTTACCTACCTATTGAATGGTCGTACCGCGATGGTTAAACTTTTAACTGACGATCAAACCTATAGCAATTGACTGTAAAACCTCTCTGAAACAGCAGGGTTTTCTAGCTCAGTCAATAGGCAATCGGCCTGTCATCGCTTAGCCAAAATCATATTTTACATAGTTATTTTTTTTCTTTCGATTTTTTATCGAAATCGCCTAGAATACTTCAGTAACAAGCTCTTGTGAGTTTAGTAATTATTTACCGACTAGCTCTTGTTTTCTATATTACTCTACGCTTCCTATATTAACTGCTTATTGGTAATTGTCCTGCGCTTATCCTTGTCTTCTTTGCATGCTTCTTAGTCGTAAGAATTGTTCTTCTTTCTCCGACAGTTCGGGCATTGAATGAGCATCTCCCAGCTGGTTGCACTTGCCAGCACCTTCCGTTTCAATCAAATTTCTGTATAAGCTATTGTATAGCTTTCATGAACATTTTATGCAAGCAGCCCTATCAGGTTGTACTAATAGAGCTCTATCAGATTGTACTAATTGAGGTAATTGAGAAGCGTTCTAGAATCTTCCCTTGCTTAAAGGTTCTGTTTAACTCCAGTTCCTTCTGTTAAAACTGCCCCATTAGAGATGAATAATGAATACAGTGAGTATTATGAGTGATCTCAGTTAGTTCTGCTTAGTTCTCCCAGCTCGTTCACCCAGTTAGTTCGCTGAGCTATTAATCCTTACCCTCCCAGATATCGTCACATTCTTAATACTGCAATCTCGTTGCTCCTATAAAAGCTTACAACTCACGCTTGAGATTGTGCTCTGTGACTACGTCAAAAGTTCGACGTGGCAAATTCGTACAATGTCGAGCATTCTATTTCAACCTAGTGACTACTCGTTGCCGAAAACTAAATCAAAGACTTATATTCTACTGAGTAAACTAAAACAACGTCAACCACAATGATGATGAGATATTTGCATAACAGCAGACCCCAGGTGTTTGCGGTGGAGATCGAAGACGCTATTGCCAATTTCAGTTCACTCTTATAATGAGTTGTTATTGGATTACGGAATGTATGTGGTGAACCAATCCAAGCCAGACGGAGAGTCATCATTTCACGTGGTGCGACCAAAAGAATTTACGTGTTACTTTGTGATAAATTCAGAGCTAGATATGTCGTATGTGGTATTATAGGTATGGTAAGGTATGGAAATTAAAGAATTTTGGGTACTGAAAGAACGCGTTATCAAATTATCACATCTCTACCAGTATTCCTTTTGATTGCTATGCTTTACTTTAAAGGAAGCAAGTGAGAAGACCTATTCAGAATTTTCACATCAGCTCTACTTAAACCCAAATGGCAAAATTTTTGTGGCTCATTCTAGTTGCACGACGACATAGAGGAGAGGAAATTTAATAGGTTCCTGGTGATACGTTGGGTGTTCTATTAGTTCTCGTGATAGAATTCAATTTTGGAAATTCTGAAGCTTGGTTTTTCTCAACACTATCAGAAGTGAGCTGAGCAGAAGTGGAAAGAATTACTATCAGAAATGACAAACAACATAACTCATCAACATTTACAGAGCACAATCTCCACAGCAAACATCTGCGTGAGTCCGTTACAAGTGGTCAGAGCATGGGCTCTCCTCTCACTGGTCGCTGTAGGAAAAACGGCTACAGCGGCACAAAAGTTTCTTGAGAACAGGGAGTTTTAATTTGTTCAGTGCTTTTTACAACCTTTGGCGAAGATAGGTATGTCAAAGCCGATCTCAACTAGTTTCCGTTCGGAACCTTATGACAAGAGTGCGCCTACGGTACAGTGCGCTGAATCAGTGCGATTCGTGAATTTCTTCGTAGTTTTTGTATGGAAGGCGCTTATGAAATATTCCTAGAGCTGTTTCGATTGTGCAAAGTCGACCATAGTACTTTTAGAGTGGCTATTTCAGCCTAACATATGTGCAAATACCCTTCCGACGTTATACGTAATTTGTTGCAGTCATTGGCATGATGCCGAACAACGAGTCCGTGCACGATGTGCTCTTGTGCTTGAATGCTCCGATCGCTAAATGCCCCATGCCAGTTTGCATTCGGTTATTCGCCGAACACCAGCCGGTCTGACATATCAGCTTCTCTTTGTTTTTTCTTGCTTTTCTTGCTAATATTCGTTTTTATTAGGCGGTTTCGATCCAAAAAGACGTTCTCGACGAAATGAATACCTACTACGGCAGAAACGTTGGGTTTAATTTTCTTCTCCAGCTGAATATCATTAGCCATTTAGTGCAGGATTGTCAGCCTACTGGCTTCAATTGCTCATTCAATATTTTCATATTTAAAACAAAGCAAGATTTCATTATTTTTGTTACGATCAACTTTTGCTAGCTGAAAGTGATAATTTTTGAGTGACTCATTTACCATGTACTTGTCTTTATGTCTTTATGTCTTTTGTCGACTTGTAGAAATCGGTTTTTGTGGAAACGGGTTTCTCTGGTGATGATGATGGCTTAGCTTCGATTGCCAGAATTAACGCTGAAGTAGATGTGAGTAAAATGAACCTTGTTGACACAAATTTTTCAAGATTATAATGACCGAACGTGCTTAATACACCTCTTTATACATTCTCATTTGCGCAATCAGAGCGAGATTTTGCCCGCAATAACCTCTATAGGGTTCGCTTAATTTTCGTGGCTTATTTTGTTAGGCACAACTGTTTCCGAAGCTTATTTGTATTTAATCAATAACTAAACAGATATTGTGGCGTGTGTCAACTAAGGGAAGCTCAATTCTGCAATTAGATGTGTGCCAAGAAAGAACTTGAACTCGAACGAGTTTTAAGCTGCAATTTGTTTGCTAAGTAACTGTCATTTAAATTCCAATCACTATAGTGAATCCTGTTTTTCATACAGAATGAGTGGGTTTAACGAACGTAGAATAGACTCAATGCAAGTTAAAAAGGAGTGCTTTTATATGCTGCGAGAAATGTGCTTGTATGATGGACCTTAGAAACATCTTCTGGACTCCTTGTCGTTCCTTTGGTCGTTGAGTAACTCCAGCGAGCACCTACAAACCTGTTTCTCTCGTCGCGAGCAAGCTTAGCCCAGTGGGGTTCTGCTGTCTGCAGGAACTCGTTGAACATCGCGCCTTTCAACTAGGGTTTTCTGAAGAACTCTTCCCATCGAATCAATGGTTTTCCCGCTGTGTGTTTGGTATCTTCAGAAATCAAACGGCTAACGGCTCTTGTCTATTGGTCGTCGTTCAAACACATTACATGTTAGGCCCACTTTATCTTCGAAAAATTGCCTGTAGGACGACTACATTAGAAGCACAGCAAGTAATGGGGCGGGAGAGATAGCGTAGTGGTTAGTGAATCAATCAATCAGGAATCAGAGTGCTGGTTCGACTTCTTTCTCAACGCCCTTCTCCAATCATCGCCTTAACGTCTTAGCTCGCCTATCTCTGAGATAGCAAGAAGAATCGACTCCACAACCATTCTATGACATTCATAAAGAAGACGAAATCCTCAAGCAGCAGCCAAAATAGCACGCGAAATGCTCGAAAAAGAAGACCTGTGTGGACGACTTGGGATCCGCACAGTAAATATGATGAGAAAAGTACCTTATCGCATACATAGCATTTGTACCCATCGTGCGATAGACCAACATCTCTTCTACAATCCATACAGGTTTTCAACCTCTCACTCCTCTTAGTAACCGAAAACCTATTTTGTTATGAGAAAACCAGCCTTTGCCTAACAGCCTGGAACTACGCATCGTTGCCAATGTGTCTATATCAAATCGTTGAATATTTTAGAACCACAATGGGTGAATTCCAAGCAGTTGAGTTATCGATATTTTAACATATGCGCGACTAGAGAGGTTTTTTGACAATTGACGACAATTTCTCGATCAACACGAAACTTCAATAGAGAACTTCATGGGCTTCCAGAAGACATTTGCCCTATCGCACCATTCGCGTGTGTAATTTTATGCAGAATTTTCTCATTTTTTAGTGTGTTTAGCCTTACATCATTCGAAAAAATGACAATGAAGTTTAAATTCTTGGAATTCTTAACAGAAGCGCAACAGTTGCAAACATAATTGCTATGTTGGGAGTACCACTAAGTCCTATTAATCGAACTCTCCGTTCTTCACTTGCTTTCGTGTCTGAAATACGGTCCTTAATCCAAAAAAGCGAACCAGACATAACCACGGTGATGCTGAGATGTTTGTAAAACTCCGGACCGCAGGTGTCTGCGGTGGGCAGCAAACGCGCCATTACCCTTTCCGGGGACTAACTCGTTCATCACCACACCATGTGGGTCTTTCGTTTGGCCTGTTCTTCAGCTAGTTCTGTCGATTTGCGCCATATTGGAACCAAATATATTTCATAGGCTTTAGGAAACCAGAATTTTATTTTGGTACAATAAGATGACTAATACCTAATCGCTAAGGTTTTATAGATTGCAGTGGTTTTCTTTCTAACTAAAAAATTTGGCATCAGCTTAAAACTGTTTGAGAGTGGCCACTATTTTCACATCTACTGCACTGTATGCAATGCATGTCAGGCATTATATACGGTTGTTTTACGTTTTATTTTTCTTTAATTTCTGCTTCAGGATAGCACCGGAGGGCGAGTGAGTTGCGTTTTTCGCGATAACAATGGGCCAAACAGGTTCAAGAAAGTCTAAAAGTTAAAGTGAAACGTTTTCTACAAGTTTTATTGCAGAAGAGCACAGATGGTTCTGGTGTCAGCTGTTGACTGCACCTTCTACTGGAGTTTTCACGGAAAGCGCAAACCGCTCATAAAATGCCCGTTCTATGACTCACCGAACAGAGATTCAAGCACCATGAGATATGTACGTATAGTATTCTACTACATCGTGCACGCACGACGCTTTTTCTTACCATCCCACGGAAATGCTTTTGAATCCGGGCCTCATCTAATTACACGAAGGAAAAGTTATGGTTTTTATTGGTTGACTGTCGTTAGTCGTTGAAGAAGTGTAATCGGTGACGTGCCCCAGTTGGTTTCACGACGGATGCATTGGTGGACTTTATGTTACAAATCTTTGAAATATAGTGCCAATTAAAAAAAACTAGAATACGTTCCATTCTTAATAAACTGTTATTTTTAGAAAGAAGAATGGAATTGGCGATTGTGTTCAATTTGCTGAAGATGTATCCCTAATTTCTATCCATCATAGGAAATTTAGATTACGGATTTGGGTTACTCGACACCTAGCAGTGCGTGGCTGAGCGCTCTTATTTCGTATAGGTGTCGTAGTTCAACTGACCAAGAAAGCGATTTCTACCTTGTTCTCGGTAGCGGCGTATAGATTACAACCATGAACACGACAGTTTTACTGCCACCCATTATACCACCAAGTGCTGTTTTGTAAACATTTAAAAAAATTCAGTGAAAGCAAAAGTCAGCAAGAAAACCTTAATAGAAGTTGGATGTCAATTTGGTTTTCAGTGGGTGTTACATGTCTAGTGCTTTCACTGTTCTTCCACTTGCGCTCTTAACACTGTGCGCGAGTGAATAGGCCCTTGTGACTATAGTAACGTCAAATTTCAATCTTAAGTGGATGAAGAACTTTATTCTACGCTAAATATACATATGCAAATATACTTATTTCTATCGATATCCTGATACTTTTCCTTTCCTCAAGAGCTTAGTTTTTTGATTAAGTCATTTTTCTTAATGTTTCACTGGCTCACTGGTTTGCTCAGATGAGCCAGAGCACAGTTCAGACTCATTGCCGCACAACTTTCAAAAAAGTAAATAAAAATGACAAGTAATGACTTCATTCACTCTTACATTGGTGGAAAATAAAATAATTCGAAATTTAATGATTATGTGTGGTCCGCATTGTTGGAATGGTTACTCTTGAAGGAAAAACTTGTGAAGTGCACGGGCGACGAAAAATTTTTGTATCCAGTCGATTTTAGGTGGATGCTTGGCCATGCGAGGGAAAGTTCCGGTACTCAGAGAACAACGGCAAACAGTTGTTGGAGTTGGATTCTCATCTCGAAGGATTCAAGCTTTACTTTTACACGTAGGACATTCACACTGTTCTTAGCGTGTTCTCGGAATACCTTTAGCGTCTGGAACCCTACTGGTGCTTTAAGTGATGAGACATTTTTATTATTGCTCCATTCATAAGTGATTTTAATAGCCTCACACGAAATACAACTTAGTTGGTCGATCAAAGAGTTATACCAGCAGTTACTGGTGCTCCTATCACAGGCGTTTAATTGCGGGAGCCGTACTGAGAGTATTGTGCTCGATCAAAGCATGTGGTGTGTTTTTGTACATCGCATATGTCTACGTGAGCGCGTGTACGACATATACCCTCTACTTAACCAGTTGTATCATACACCGTCACCGGCTACTCTAGGGCTAACCACAAGTTTCTGAACTCGAAGTGAGGCTACTTTACTTATGTTCTAAGAAAAGTGAGCTAGAAATTACGCTCCACTGGTTGAATTTGGTTGAACACAACACACCCACATAAGCATTTCTTACAATGGAGATCTGAGTACGTTATAAGATTGAAAGTAGTTAAGAAGACGCTGCAGGCCATACGTTTGACACGCTAACATTTGAACAAAAATAGACGAATAAGTACGGTGTGGAACACGTTTATAAGTTCTTTTTTCTTTTACTAGCTATTAAGATACTGACATCTGCAGAGTGTCCTTCCTGTAAAAGAAAAAATGATTATGAACGAACAGTTATTCAATCGACAGCGATTTCGTGGCCCTCGGGTGAAGTTCTCGTTGGAGCGTTGCCCCACTTCAGAAGATTCGACTCATTGCACTCCGAAGACCCACATCGCGAGGTTGAACGGCTATGAGTTGTCGACTTGAATCATTGCGTGTCTGACCAAGGCAATGAGTCCTCTGATGTTCGGTCTGATCGTAATCTCTGGGGAGGTGAAGCTCTCTATCCCACCGCAATCGGCAGAATGGAACAAGACTTCTCTGAGAGAATAGAAACTCCGGATTGATGGATATTGGTAAACCTTTTCAAACTACTGTGTATGACGGGTGATTGCTGATGGCAAAAGATCGATAGAACTAGCTGAGAGACATGCAAAGCGAAGGACCCGGATGGTGTAGTGGTGAAGTGCGCTGCTCCCCGGTAAGGACAACAGCGCGTGTTCGTTCCCCACCGCCCGCATACACCTGCGGTGCGGAGTTTTGCAGATATCTCAGCATCATTGAAGTCACATGTAAATGTTCGATGGCCGTCGTAGGTTATCGATGCTGGTAAATGAATCGAATGGGAAACGCGATGGTGATCAGCACAGTGGATGTGAAAGATGGGTAGCGTAGAATATGTATATATTGAATTGGCAGTTCTATGGGCCACTGTAATTGATTATGTGAAACCAATAATCACTCAATCAGTTTTAATGATGCTACGAATGCAGTCAGGTACATGACAATTCAATACTTTAGAGATTGATCAACACTAAACATTTTCTCTTCCGTCTGTCATATGAAAATGCTGATGAACACTCTTCCACGACTAACATGATATTTAGACTTTCTAACGCTTCCTTCTTTTAACGTATTCCCGAGTGAATGTAATTTTGTGTGGACGCTTCCTGGAGTAAGTCTCAATTTTCACCTCTCATGGTGAGAATTGGAAGAATTCACTACAAGGACTTTCGCAAATTGTTTGGTATAGAAGGCAGCTTTTCACGGGTCAAATCTGGCACAATAATATAGTGTTGGCCAAACTATTGATTTTTGCTGAAAAATTGGTCTTCAAGCTGGGATACATTGGGATCAATTCATGCAATTCTCTTAGCATTCTTGTTTCCGAACCAACGAAAGTTAGTAAACGCCAACCTTCGTGGTAGGTTCACAGGGTGTGAGCGTCAAGTGAATAATTCAGTTACAATGAGGCCGATCTGACAGCAACGTCGTTTCTTCAAGCCGTCGACTCGCTTCCTACCAACAAATCACGGTTGAAAGTTAGTTTTACTAATATGCCATGTAATCACTTCTTATATGGACGATTTTTTGGAGGAACCAGCCATTCTGTAGTTCTGTAGAAAAACCGAACAGCGCGAATCATGCGGTTTGGTAGTTATGGGTGCTTCTTTTTTAAAATTAAGGGTCTTTACATATGAATGTGTCGTTTTCTTGTTCAGCAATCGCGAGGTTTTTAAACAGCATACATTTACTTCCATATAAAAACAATACAATACAACACTAGTTGACGTTTCGGCAGTATCGCCTTCTTCAGAGCCGCTTTTTCGTGACTTCCAATGAGGAAGTTTAGAACAGCTGAAAAAAAAAACCTCGCGATTGCTGAACAAGAAAACGACACATTCATATTCCAATGCCGAGGTTAATAGAAAGTCAATCCTGGGGTCTCTACATAATTATTAGAAGTCAGGCTCCGGCTATTTCTTGCAGATCAGATTAGTGAAAGTAGAGAACAAACATCGACTTTTGAACCATCAGCTATCGTGCTTAAATTCTAGTTTTGAAGAAAATTTCACTCACTACTCAGCAAAATACTCGTCTTTTCTGAGCCTAGAAGTGACGTTGTGGCGGTTGGCGCTTGTCTTCTCAGAATTCCCAATAATTCTTCATTTTTTCATAAAGAAAAAAGTCGAAAGAATCGGTAACGACATCATTTCAGATTTACGTGCCTCGATCTTCCGTGTTGTGTTCGGTGAGATTGTCCGAGTGCACCAACAAGAAGCATTGGTTTGGATTCCGCCGGATTTTCGATCGGGAAAAGGTGAGCTCTGTTGGTTCTTCATTATCCTGAATGAAGAACTGAAAAATCAAAATCACCTGTTATGGGTGTTCATCATCCATTTAACGATGCCTGGACCCTATAGGAAAATTTTACAATGGAGTCCGCTGAGGGATAGAGAGGTAGCCGTACAATGACCGCCACGCGTCGGCCACTTCGGAAATCGGGTTAAATCCTGTGTAGAAATCCCTTTGATTCAAAATGGTTCACCTACATATTCACTACAGAAAAACGGTAGAAAAAGAATCCGATTGCCTGGATCAAACCTTTCCCCAATGAGTACGTTAATCCTCCTTGCTATGAACTGCACTTACTATTGGTAATTCATTTATGATCTATAACCAGCCTAAAGCGCGTCACTTTCCCTACTTAGTGAATTACTATTTTCGTGCTATTTCTGTTGCTCTTACTATTTTAAAAAAATCTATTTGACAGCTGAGTAACAGGGGCGATCTTTTTTGAGCTACAGTATTAGCCATGCTAAAGACTCAGGGATTTGAAAAATATGAATTTTGCGTGAGCCGTGCTTGTAAAATAACTTGAAGGCTGACGCTCTGAATAAAGTTAGACTGGTTAGAATCTGGAAAGTCTCCGAAACTGAAAACAGAAAGCGTTACGGAAAAGAGAGGTCGCTCACTGACGTTCATGTTATGGAGCTAAGAAAAAATAATGAAGAATTCGAAGAAAAAAACAGAATCAGCGCAAGGCGTAGCTTACTAGCTTGCTGTAGCTTACTTCAGTGTGATCAAAGTTTTCAGTCCGATCTATCCGGTATCTTCTATCGCAGTCATTCGTTCTATCCATATTTCGTCACGTTATGGGAACACTATCACTTGGCTCAATTCACGGTGACTTCAGCTGACTAGAGCTATGAAGCCTTAGCGTTTTTTTAACGTTCATGTTCAGATTGTACCAGAGCCACCGTCTTCATCTGCAACCTCCAAGAACAAGGACTTAGTCGACAGTGGGTTGTCTTTTCGCACGAGTGATCTTGTTGATCTGCTCTAATCGATAAAACTTGTCCATATTGGGCGCTTTTAACGGCTTTACTGGACTTGTATCAATCTCTTTTATCCGGTGATAAGACTACTTTCATATTCATTTTTTCATCGATTCATTAACAAAAAGGTTTTTTAAAAAGGCCTTTGTGAAAAGACGAAAACTTCAGCTGGTAAATGGGAAGGACGCTAACAAATACAGGCTGGTGCTGTTTTTTCGATAAGTGGTGATAATTCTCTGATAATGAGAGTACTTCAGTAGAACGTGTAAACAGTCTTTGTCCTACCGTAGACACAATGTCACAAAGTGACGCTCTAATTTTGAGCTTATTTCAAACAAGGTTATGGACAGATTTCCAGTTTTCATAACGATAACCCGAAAAGAAGGCGGAGACGTCGAAATGTTAACCAAATAAATCCTTGGTAACAACTTTGCGTGAACTTATCAATGAAAGAACACGTATTGATTAGTTATGCCGATACTGAAGGAAAGTCGGCTTTAGGAATATTTTCATTTTCACCCTCTGTGTTGGCTGATAAAGAGACCGACTGCTGCGTGATGGATTGCCTGGAGAAAAGCAAACAATTACCAACGGACAATCACTATCAAAAACCGTCTTATATGAAAGAACACTGCCGAATGAGATCAATTTGTCTTGGCGGTGCTTCACTGAATTCAACTCGATGCGATCGGCAGGATCCACATCGGAAGAAGGAATAGCCGTGGGCAATCGACTCGGATCAATCCATCTCTGAAGAAGACGAAGATGGCGAAAAGTTAGCTAAATGAAGTTCCTTATCAACCATGTGTTAGTGCATGATTAAACGAATATGTGTTAACATGAGAGTCGCAAACATCAGTCGGTGATACCGCTTTGTCTGACAGGAGAAAATCTGTTCGTCCAGTCGCTTAGCTGTTTAAAATAGAAGGCTCGACGAAGGAAGAAAGAAGAAATACTGCGTCTTGTGAATAAAAAGTAGCCAGTGTAAAGAGGTGTTGATTTCAATGACCTTTGTACCATTTGATAAAAATCACCATGAGCTAAGATACACTTATATGAGTTTACTGTTAGTTAACTGTGAACTAAGTTGAAAAGCATATTTTGACTTCGTGTAAGAACCACAGCGGTGTTTTCTAAACAATCACTTTCACACTTTAATTCTCTGATTAAACGTGTTGTCACTTGTTTATCATATAGCATTTTTATCGCATGAATAAGTATGAGTGCCTCAGTCTACATTCGTAAAATCAACTTGGTCACAAAGGCCATAGACTTTCAAAACTCTGATTGGCCAAGTCCGGTTTTGATGCTGAAATTCCCCTAGTTTCTGAACGCTTACACCCAGCCGAAATTGCCATAGAGTCCTTTAATTAACAGGCAATAGGGTAAATGCTTTTACAAGTCAATTGTAGAATGGTGAAATGCAAGTTGAAAGCTCGAGGAAACTAATAAAATTTCGGGTACTCTGCGACAAAAAAGTCTATATTTCACTAAAAAGTTGGAATAAATGCTTCATAGTAATTACCGTAACCTCCAGAGTATTCCATTTTTGCAATCTTTTATATTCCAGACAAGCTGAAGATGGCCACACAGAAGGCGATGCCTCATAAAAACCAGACAGGAGCTCCAGCCGATCGTAAGTGAGATTCGATGATTTTAGAACAAGTAGAACGTTTTACTCTAGCGTTTAAAGTAAAGAATCGGCAATTCGAACTTGTTTTAACGTCTATGACAAATTCGTGTCCTCAGTTTCTTTTCGAATATCGCAAGTTCTGTGAGGAGCGACCCATGTACGAATTCTCGTCGGGCGGTCCATTATCCGTCTAATCATTTGTTTTTCTCTGTTCTGGATGCGACCTCTGTGAGAAGTTTGCTACAGTAAACTAATGAATGCAGCGAAGTATATCTTCTTTCAACGTCTTAAATAAAAACTTTTATTCAGCTGGCATTTCCTTAACGAAGGCTCCAGCCAAATAAAGTTTTCGTACCAACCCCAGGTCAGCTCGATTTTCTGGGAAATTATCGTTCAACAGTGAATAATGACACGACGCAAAAGCATTGTTGAAGTGCTGCTAAAGTTATAGGAGGATTTATTCAAACGGATGATGTGAATGTGTTCCAAAAAATTACTGTGGACATGGAAATACCTTGTTTTGGGGCTCCTCCCTACTTTAGGGGTTCGTGTCCCGTTTCTTGGTTGCTTCTAGATTTTTACAGAAACAATTGCGGTTGCTTAGTTTGGCTTGAAACTGTCTTAAACTCATTGATTGTAATCAATTTATGTAGTAATGTCAGTACGGGTGCCTGTTTTTGTTCGTTGAGTAGGAAATGTACTTAGCGCTAACATTAAAACTGCGGTAACTAAACTGTTGTTGCGTAGCCTCATTGTAATGTTTGGTCAACCGTGTTCCATGTGCAAACTTTTAAAGGTATTGGAAGTGAATTTAGTCTCTTCATTGACTTGTGAGCTTGTGGGTGAATAATAACGTGTTGCTTATGTTTCGGAGATGGTTGTCCGCAACTCTACCAATGCCACAATACTCAAAGTCGACATGAATCATAATAGGGTTTTAACCTAGGACTTCTTTATCAAGAATCTAACTTGGAAAGGAAGTACTGAGAAATCAAATGGCAGCTGGAGATGTTGTTGCAGGAATTTCTTTTGCATACAGTTGTTCAAAATTTTTACTTAGCCATGTGAACCATATGGTAGGAAACACGTAGATGACGATTTGAATTATAACGGAACAATAAACTTTGATGCGAAATGAAATCTAGCCAAAGTTATAAAGAATAGGAAGGATAAAACTCTCTGCGTTGATCAATTCCTGAGGAATGCGCCATGCATCCAACTTCATTAAGAATCGTTTGGAAGTGATTGAATACATATCTAACCTTCACAATGACTCGCGGAACGGTTCTTCTTCATCAGTTGTCATTGAGACACATGGCATGTCCGTCTCACCTAATCTTCGACAATTTGGTATGAAGAACGGCATTTTTGATTTTTGATTGTTGACGCAGGTCGGTGATTCGGGTTCTCTCGCTCACCTTCGTAATACGCGATACTCCTAGCATCGTCCTGTGGAGCGGTGATCGAACATGATGGACGTCGACACGTTAGACGGTCTCCATATGTTCACAACAGGCCGTTTTGGATTGGATAGAGGCCTGCCTACCAAAACTTTTTCGTAACTTGTGACGTCATATTTTTTACGAACATGCGGGTAACCAGTGGAGGACAATGGAGTAACCTGAGATTTAGAGTTCATTGAATCTAATAAAAAATCCGGAAAATGCTGTTACAGTGTGACCCGTTTAATTTTAGCTTTGGATAACTCATACGTAAAGTTCGATACTCCGTTTTTCTTCATGACTGTGAAACAAGGAGCGTTCGGACGGATCGTCCATTGCATTGGTCACTTTGTAAGTGGTTAAGAATAAATTACGACAATAGCATACGTTTCTAACGCAGATGAACTGGTCTTCAGTGTACCCACAGTATAGGAAAAATATGACAATTAAAAGTAACAAGGTGAACACTGTGTGTTCTTTTTGGCTTGTTCATGGGATGGCCTCTGACTTCATGGCGCTACAGACTCACGGATTTTTCGACGATAGGCGATAATTTTCTAATAAGTAAAGTGCCTAAAGGCTTGGAAACACTGCCGTATTACGAGAGAGATTGCTTCAGTATGTATGGCATGTATACTGTTATCTACTATGTGCAAGCACGGTTTGCCCTACAAATGCACTCAAGTTAGAATTTGGCAGAATATTTAGGACTACTTATGCATTTTTTATATCTAGAAGTTTAATACGACTACCATGATTCATCATAGCGATTGGAATTGAAATAAAAGTCGACAACTAGTCATGTTCCCTCTCAATGAACTCTTTGGAAAAGAGTTTCCCGTACATTTCTAAATGCAGAACAAAGTGTTTCTTGTTTGATATCCGTCACAGCATTTATCTTGAATAAGCTGCCGAACGACTTCAAAAACGGAAACAAAGATCACGAGGCAAAGTAAGAACGAGTCATATATGATTCACCTCTTTCTCAACCTTTTTATGTAATGCTGGGTAAGAACTAAGAACAGTGATGCCCTAAAACATTAATTAACCAATACCACCTTGTAAACACATTACAATGTCGATGGGAATCTGGAACAAGCGACAGTATGGGCACTACAGTGTCCGTACTCGATTTAGTAGGTCCCAAAAATTTTTCACCCGACTATATTTACCCGATCGAGAGCTAGTCTAAATCAGATCAAAGTAATAGAGGTGAGACAAGAAAACTATTCTGCACACTTAATGACTTACAAAACACCTTTTTTTCGGAGGAGTTCAGTGATCGGCAATTTGAGCAGCAATTGACTTTTATTTCATTTTAGTGGATACGATGAATCATGGTTGTTTTCTGGAAAGTGTAAGCATGAAAGTTACAGAAATAGACTCGAAATAGGCTGAAGAGCACTTTCAGATGCAGACACCAATATATGCTCATAACGGACCGTAGTAACGGGTAGCAAGTGTAGCTTACCTATCATTCATACCAATAAAACGATAGGGCAATTGTTTTCTATAATGCTGCCATGTTCAATACCCCTTTAATTTCCTATGTGCTGACAAGAGGTTTTTTATTTTTGAAAAGCCAGGAAGTCTGTAGCCGTCGAGAAACTGCGCGTAGTACGTCGGGCCAGCCGCGAAATACGGTAGCCGTGGCGAAAAGAGGTAACAATAGATCTCTTGTAAAGCGTGTAGGACGAATATGCTGGCGAAACGGGTAGACCGCTCTGCGTCCGCAGAAAAGAACACCTAGTTGGTGAATCTGAATCAAAACAAAACACTCCAATAGGCGCGCATAGGATGCAGGAACACAACGGAGAAGATTTTGAAGTAGGAATCACTATATTCACGCAGGAATCAAAAACATCAGCACGTAAAACTCTTGAAGCGTTTTCGATCAATTCCAAAAATTCAAAAATGAACCGCGAGGAGTGTCATGTCATCACGCATGACCTGGCCCCATACCTCAGGCTAATCCAACGACCTGACACAGACGCGGTTTTTTCCCATGTATTACTCTGTGCAGCTGCTATCCATCAACAACTTAAATACTTACAACAAATAAAGTGTAGGTGTTTAAATGAAGCTGTTTTTTATGCGAATACAAACGTATTTGTTAAGTTTTATCTGTTAGAGTTATGAAAGTGTTTGGCTGAATAGATCGCGTGTCAATCGACCTCTCCAGGCTCTGAAGAAGGCGAAGAACAACCTCGTGTCTGCTTATTGAAGAAAAATCGGATTAACAAGAGATATTTTCAGAGCAACATCGAAACCAGTCCAACGGATATTCGTGGTCCTAGCATTGTCTGACGGATAGGGCGCTGTCGACGCGCGGTCGTTAGAATTGAACTTGCACAGATATCGAATTTCTTATTTAACGTTCTTTTCACTGAATTTCTAATTGGACTTATGTTTGAGTCCAGATAAAGAATAAGCAAACTCCTGAACTGATCAGAGCATTTGTGGATGAGATCGCGAATAATTGAAGTGATGACTAAACTTCGGTTTGACGAAGGTCTATACAAAATGAAACACAAAGCAGGAATTCGTAGGACAGCTAGACGAGTACATTGCGTTGTATTATGTTTATGTTTTATTGTTTTATTGTTGGCCTAAATATTTGAAAACATAATTGCAGATTTAGTCTCTGAAGATTACAATGGAGCCCAGTTTGAGCTATCCGACTTTTACATTATCCCTTCATTGACAAACTAACATGACGTTGAAAAAGGTTTATTCGTCCGTTTCGGCATCTTCGTCTTTATCAGAGCTGATGATACTAGTCGACAGTTCATAGTCCTTCATACTCTATGGCGTCTTCGTTTCACATCGAGCTGGATCTTCATTACTGGAGCACCGCTCGTCTTCGCGAGGAACACATTAAAGCGGGAAAACGAACGACTGTTGACCATCCATTTGGATCATCTGCTCTGAGGAAGACGATTTCTTCGGACCTTTAGCCCAGTAAACCTCTTTATTAACCTCATGTTAGCCTACCAATGATGAAGTACATGTCGATCAACTATGTCGAGTTTAAAGGAAAGTCAGTTTTTGGAATATTCTATTTCTGTGCAGACAAGCATTCTACAAAAATTGCGATAAGGGGTTTAAATATCTTGGTGTGCCATGTGGTGTGCACAGCTTCGAATTGACTGCTGTGCCACGCCATGAGGGAATACGTTCGTATTTCTCCGTTGGGTTATTTATGTTATTTTACATCTTCAGAAAAAGTTCAGCTGCCCATGGTCTGCAATAAAAGGCGTTTTCATTACTGGCTATTCGCAAAGCTCTTTGCATCGACTAGCCATCTAGAAGAATGGCTTCGGAATTCGAGCTTGACATATTTTTGCAGTTTTATTCGCCTAAACATGCTTCTGATATTCCAGACATTTTACTTTTACTATATAATGTTCTAAAAAGAATTTTCTTGTGAAAGAATTTTATTCTGCCTACCACGGCAACACATTTTGAGCACTTGCATATGATTCACGCCCTCGCTTTCATATTCTACGAACGTCTTCTGCATTTATGTGCCGGTTCGGTTGCTGCTTAAAGATTTTTAACATTCTTCATGAATGTTGTTGAATGCTGGTCAAATGGGTTCTTTTTGGAGACCTGGGATCGCCAAACTAGGGTTTTCACACATCTTTATCATAGGCAGGCGTCTTTTTTCGTCATTTTTGTACTTTTTGTGAGCTCATCGCAGGCAAGCCTGCTACCAATTTACAAAATCCGGAGGGGAGGCTTGGTGGATC